TGGCATTTCAATGTGAACTCCCAAACTCCAGGTGCTCCGGTTTACCCCACAGTCCAAAGACATGCGCTGTAGGTGAATTGAATAAAAACTAAATTGGCTGTAGTGTATGTGTGTGAATGTGAGAGAGTATGGGTGTATGGCTGAGGCCATCAGCTGTGTAAAACTGCTGGAATAGTTGCAGTTCATTCCGCTTTGGTGATCCCAGATAAATAAGCAACTAAGCTGAAGAAAAAATTATTGTTTAAATATTTAAAACAAATGTGTTGTCATATACTGTTTATGAATGTACAGTTTTTGTATTGTAACTTAGCTCAGCACTGAACATAACTTGTTAGGTTTAAAAATGAAGGTTCTTTCTAGACAAAATTGGTTCCGCGATAAATCTTTAACAAGTCCATTTTATTTCACAAAAGCTTCTTCAGAGTTGAAAAGGGTTCTTTATTTCATTAAAATGAAGGAATTGTGTTCTTTGAAGAAGTTCTTTGAAAGGTTCATTGGAGAATAAAAGAAATGTCTTTATGGTCTTACAGTGAAAACTCCATTTCGGTTCTTCATGACACCTTAACTTTTTAGAGTGTTGGGCTTTAGAAGAAATGCAACATCCATAGGTTCAGATTCACTTGTCGGAAGTCAGACTGTTTCTCATATCTCCAGATGAAACTCCAGAGGAAACATCACTCCGGGTCCTCAGGGGAACAGACACTCGTCCCACAGATGGATCTCCTCCATCTAAACTCTCAGCGCTCTTCTCCATGGGTGCAGGTCCTCAGAAAAACACATGGTGGTGGTCTCCAGAAAGTCCTTACACCAAGAGGAGACAGAATGTAGCTTACTACAATCTCAACTCCTTCGGCCTCCGCTATGGCAAGAGAGAACAGGACATGCTCACACGATTGAAACAGAAAAGTCCTGTAAAGTGAAGGACCAATAATGTTCTTTGGTGTTTTATCATTTACGTAAATACATGTTTTCTGTTTTTATTTCTGTTATTTTGTTGGGTGTAATTAGTTTCATTTGGGTGTTTAGGTAGGGGATATGTTTTTTTTTGTGTATTATTTTTCTGTTGGTCCTCTCTGAGGTATTTGCCTTCATGTTTTAGGTGTTAAAAAGAAAGAAAAATACAAGAAAAAAGACAAATAAACGGACCTTACTCTAAGGGTTCGTAAAAGTGTATTTATTTGTCCAGTGTTCTTTTATGTTACGTCCTTGATCCAAGACCAGGGCCGTAACAGTGATTATTAAATATGTGATGCCAGAAATAATATGGTTCTGATCTGTGGACGGACCATTAGTAGAATGTTGCTAGTCTAGCAGTTCATAAATTTCATTACAAAAGAGTTTTAGTTTCATTTCTCGGAGCTGATTGGTCAACAGCGTACTTATTCACCCATCACTCACTTTATATCATTATGGCACACTTTCAGCAAGAACCATGGGCCTATTTCAGTAGGATTACTGTTTATTATTTAATCAAGGAAGAATGCGTGACCCCTGCTGGTTTATTATTGCTTTATTCACCTTTAGTTTTGAGACCCCGCCCTTGACAAAACCTTTATTGGTGTGAAGGAAGCAATAAGTTTGGCGGGAATATTTACTTATTAACGCTTGACCCCACCTGAAGAACATCAAGACAAGATATGTACGAGGTCAGCCATTTAAACGATGAGAAATAGTTAAAATAACATATAATATAAATATGCAGTACATCTGGCCACCCCTATAATGCTCCGTACAACTGTGCATGTATGATCGTCATCGGCAGACGATGTGGGAAAATGTTCAGTCAGATCAAGAGCACCGATAGAAACCGTGTTCACACAAGACACTTTTTATGTAAAATAGATGTTATATCCTGTCACTATTTGTTTCATAAATAGGTTGTGTTTGAGAATCACACATCTGTTGAAATAGCCAATCAGAGGATACTGTCATGTCAGTCAGAATACACTCATTACCTTTGGCTTAAAACACTGAAACTTAAATAAATTTGATTAATAAATTACATGTATTTGAATTCAATATTAACCTGTTTCACTGAAACTTGCACTGTATTACATAAAACTAGTATTGAAAAAAGTAAAAGATTTGGTAACACTTTATTTTGATGGTCCACTTGAGTATTAGTAGACTGTCTGCTTAATATCTGTTGATACTGCTGCTAAACAGACATTTAAATGACACAGACGTTGCAAGCACATGTCAATTAACACTAACCCCAACCTAACAGTCTACTTATAATCTAATGAGAATTAGTTGACATGTAGATGCAATGTAATATTCACCAAACGGACCATCAAAATAAAGTGTGACCAAACATTTTGTCACAAACCTCTCACACAACCTTTTTAATGGTAAATTACTTTAGATTGTATGATAAGACTGATTCATATTAAGTCTTATATAGTGACATGGGTATTAGGTAATACACTGTTATTGTGGTTTATAAGGACTTGCCTTTAAAATAACTTGCTTAAAAATCATACTTCAATTTCTGACACAGGATCCCTGTGAGGGTTGGGTTTTTATGCCTATTGAGCGTCTTTATAAACCACATATGCTGTGCAAGTATGTGCGTGTGAGCATACAGTAGGTGGGAGAGATGTGTGAGAGAGAGTTTGTACTTTAAATTCTGTTAACACACTGTTGATGACCAACATTGGTAAAATGAAATGTTTTCACACGTTTACAGATAAAAATATAATACTACTTCATATCAAGCAAAGCAAACATCAAGCAAAAGCTTTACATTATTAAAATAAACATACTGTATACATTTATTTAAAACTTGTGACTTAAAGAGATGTAAAAAGAGCTTACTATATTTGTATATTTAAATTGGAGACATTTTAAGGGCTCCCATTTTAGTATCCACAAATACAGTATACTGTACAAAAATAAAATAAATAAAGATAAAATATGGATGAAATAATGTTTTTTTTTTTTCATTAAGTACAACCAATATGTTTATAAAATCGAATTACTATTCTGGCCTGCACTTATTCAAATATATCATATATATGTTTTCAGAATAAGTGATCACACAAAATTATATTATACCACATTTTAAACAACTAAAAAACTTGTTTCTGGCAAAGGGATATATCCTAGTGATTAGAGGTTTAGTGGCAAAGAATACAAGTAGTCAAATTTAAATATATTTTGTAGCTTCACTGTGATCCTTAATTGGGTACTTTAAAGTAACATTATATTAAAATGAGTTCTGTTAAATACTGTATGCCAGACAATCTTGACATTGAATGACATTTTTAGCAGTCATCTGTCATTTAGCAGTCATCTGTAAATCGGACACTGTAAAACCCCAAAAGTTGAGGTAGTTCAAAAACTAATCCTGGTGAGTACTGTGAACCTAATCTATTTGAGTAAACAAAGCAATTTGAGCACATAAAAACCCAATAACTGAAGAGAACCCAAACCAACTGAGTACTATAAAACCCAATAAGGTAAGGTAACTCAAACCGTTTAAGGAAGGCGATTGCTACAAACCATTTGAGTTACAAAACTAATCTATGTTAAAGTAAAAAGATATTTAATGAACTCATTACCTTCAACTCTTTTCAAATAAGTAGAATTCACTTACAGTAAATTTTGAGTTTACTTATTTTATTTAAAATTTATTATTATTTAATGAAGTTGACTTTTGGGTTTTACAGTGTAGTAAAAAATATGCAATATTTAGATTTTAATTAAATTTAATTTATGAGGTCACTTTGTGAAGTTCATGAATAAATAATTACAGATTTATTGCTTCGATGCTTGAAAATCCCCTTGCATATTTGTTCCCTCTAGCATAAATAATAAGTTATATATGACCTATTATAATACAGCAGGATAATAGTTCAGTTTTGATCATCAAAATGGCACAAAATATTATTATCCAGAAAAAAATATTTTAATTCTGAATTATTTTTATTATATTTATTATATTAACTTTTATCATTTTTAACATTTATCAATGTAATTAAATGGGAATATGCACTAAAATGGATTTTTAAAGGTTATATTCATGTACAAATTTCAACATTTGAAGTGTACATTATCTTTGAATGAGCAGGATACAGTGTTTTATCTTTAATGTTATTTAAAACTGGTGATGCTCAACCACAACTTTCCACTGCGCTGATGCTAATCACTGAGCACTTCCGTGCTTGTTCTTTTAAGAGAGGGCTTGATGACTAACTTGATTATACTATTTAAGATCATTAAAAAGAGGAATTAGGAAGCTAATGAAATAATGTCTGATTTCAACATGTGGAATATACAATCTGTATTCTTTATCACACTCTGCATGTTTCTTTTCAATGTGGCAGGTAAGACACGTGGCACAGCTTCTTTTTAAATCAGGGCAGATACATTTTTGTTGCTATATGTATTTAATTTTTTTATATAAAAATAAAGTAGTAATAATAATAGTAGTAGCAGGAATAATAAAACCAATACTACTACAAAAATAATAATGGTTAGAATATTACAAAATGAAAAATGCTATGCAATGCAGGTTAGATTGATTAAAACAGATCTTTATAATACTCCTGTTACTTAATTTTTAAGATCTGAATAGTTTTGATATAAAAAAAACAGATTTGTATAGTAAAAATAGTAATTCTAACATGTGGAATAATAAAATGTAAGATTCAAACTATTTCTGTGACTAACATCAGCTAAAACATGTAAGGGGTTAATGCGAATGATGCTCGAAAAGAATCTGTGACATGAAATTTATAACATTATTTTGCACAATTAGCCTAAATCAATTTGTTTTAATGCTAATTAAATGTTTTGTTTCCTGCAGATAACAAACTTGTAAATGGGAATTCAACCACTGGAGACATAACATGGTAACATTTTATTTTATGTAACATATATTTATTTAATTTACTTAATTTTTTTTTCTCGGTGATTTACAATGTAAAACCTGCTTTTTCAGCCTTTGACTTTTATATTGTGTAATATCTTGTAATATGTTATAAGTTGGCTAAATACTTTACAAGTATTACTTTACTTTTCTTGATGTTTTCACTGTGTATTATTTTCTGCTTTGTTTTAGTAATGTTCTTCATCCATTGGTGTACGCTATCATCTGCTTCCTCGCTGCTGTCATTCTCATTCTCCTAATAATTCTGTATAAAATCATCTCCATGCAAAATCGTGAGTACATCACTGTATCATTTGCATGAATCCTTTACAAACTGCTTTTATTTCTTCAGCCTATAATGGAAAGAAAACATCCCACAAACTGTACACGTTTAAGTCGCACATCAATTTATACACTGAGCTATAAATCACCAGTTCAGCAACTTTTATAGATTACACATCGCAGATTTATTCATATATTCTGTATTTTTTGTAAAGAGAATGAAGCTCTTATACCTATAGTTTGCTCTTTATATGCATTTATTTTAAATAAATTAATAAATATATTTTAAATTATATAATTTTATTAATATAATTTATTATTTTTTTTTATGGGTGTTTAAAAATATATTTTTGAATTGGATTGAAATGAAGGGATAAAATAGATTCTTAAAATACCATTTTACTTTAATACTGTATGTTAACAAATTAACCTGACTTCATGTGATTTTTATGGTAAAATGTATGCAAATTAGTGCACATTTAATTAAAGAATGCCTAATTTGCATATTAATACATTTATTTTCAAGAAATATTGTAGTAATAAATGTTTGAAGTTCTTCTTTATATAATCAATCAACCGAGCATGGTGACAACTGTTATTTCATTTTACCATAGCACATATCAGTGTCTTTTTAAATTAGTCAGACAGTAAATAGCTTTCAACAGTCCTATTTATATTTTTATGTTTTAATTCAGGCGTCAAAAAAGACAATATCCACATGGCCAGCGACACAGGAGAATCGACATCTTTACATAATGCTTTGTGTACAAGTCTTGCTCCAACCTCATGCGACGACGGTAAAAAAAACACAGACATCATCATACAGTACAATAAGTCTTACTGTTCATCTGCTGAGGGATTCACGCTAAATTTTGCCCTTGTCACCAATTAGGAGCAGATAATTCATCCTCTACTAGTTCAGGGACTCCTGAAGGCTCGGTAAGTCATCCGAAAACCATTAACTTTCTCCCTCACACACCTGAAAGGCATTTGTTACTTCTTCCAGATGCGTTACGGGCCATTTCAAAGGTGTCGCAATTCTTTACTCGAGGTATTTGTTTCATATGGGATTTTGTTTTTGTTTGTCAGATTTCCAGTAGATCTCAGCGGTACGTGAGTATTCCAGAGTGCTCGAAAACATCCGACTACATCAATGTTTCAGAAGGGGTTTCCTCTGGACGAGTGGACTTTAAGAATAAAACAACACGCATAGACTATGTGAACAATAAAGAGTCCCAAAGGAAGAAGGTCAGTGGAAAAGGTCAAGCGAGATGTGCTGACGCTACAAGCGTTAGCAGCGACGCGAGTGACGAGTCTGCTGTCAATTACTCCAAGGTTGTTTTTACCAAAGCGAAGAAGTAACATGTCATTGGTAGCTTTTGTAAAAATGGATCATTTAGCTTGAAATGAAAATTCTGTCATCATTTATTCACATGTATGTTATTATAAAAGCTGTATGGCTTGCTTTTCTTTGTGGAGTTTTTGGGGGTTTTGCTATAAATTAAATGGTCACTGCAGTGTTCATTTAGTATCACTGAGTAACGTTTGTAGCTCTTTAATATTTAGATTTTGTTTCTATTTTTAACTTTTGAAGTTTGGTTGTAATTCGTTATATAGTTTTTAAAAAGTATTTATGTTTTATTTATACTCTAGTTTGACATACATACACACTGGGTATTCATCTTTTGTAGGGACTTCCCATAGACGTAATGATTTTTAAACTGTGTATTCTGTACTTCGTATTCCCCAAGCCTAACCCTAAACACAAACTTCACAGAAAATATTCTGCAGTTTTACATTTTCAAAATACTACATTATATCAAGATTTATGAGTTGTTTCCCTCATGGGAAAAATATTAAATAAATAAACAGTCACCTAAGTTCAAAAATGCTATTGCTACTTGGTGCCCACATGATAAATACCAGGATCACACACAGTTGTTCATCTGTCATATAAACTAAAGAAAATGAATGTTTTTTTTTTTTTTAGAAAAGGGCTGAAAAAAATGTGTTTAATTAAAATAATAACAATTATTGTACTTTTATTGTCTTATTAATCATTAACAGCTCTCTCTTACAGAGACATAGGCCTGTATTTTTAATATAGCTATCATTTTCATATAATATTCACTCTGAAAAAAGTACTGAGCTCTCAACTACTCAAGATGTATTATGCATATGCACAATAATCATTTAAGGAAAGGAATTGCATTTGGTTATGCTTACACTTTAAAACCCAACAGTCAACTTTATCAAATAAAATGACAGGAGTTAACTTAAAATATACTGAAAGTAATTTTCTACTCATTTGAAAAGAGTTTTGAACTCAGTGTTGAAAGTAATGAGTTAATTAAATACCTCATTAACTCAACTTAAATTGAGTAAGTTCACAGGACTCATATGGATTAGTTTTTTTTAACTCAAACGGTTTGTGCAATCTGTTTCCTCAAATGGTTTAATTTGCCTTAACTTATTGGGTTTTACAGTACTCAGTTGGCTTGAGTTCTCTTCATTTATTGGGTTTTACTGTGCTCAAATTGCTTCGTTTACTCAAATGGATTAAGTTCACAGTACTCATTAGCATTTGTTTTTGAACTTAAATGGTTTTTACCTTAACTTTTTGGGTTTTACACTGTATAAATTACCTATATTTTTAAAATATAAAGTGACAAAGTCCTCAAGGATTGTGGCTCTTCAAATTTGAGCTCCTTGAAATAGACTTGGGAAAGGACCCTTGATATACAAATCACAGATGATCAATGGAAGGAAGCTGTATTTAATGTTGCAGTTGCAATGTTCCTAAGTGCATGTACAGTAATAAAGTAAAAGCAATGCAACTAAAAATTCTACATCAAGTTCACATCTCTCTCTCATGGAGGCACCAGTTTTAAGAGGAGTTGTCACAATGTGTCTGAAATGTAAAACAGAGGAAGGAGACCTTGCTCATTGTTTCTGGCTTTGCATGGAAATTCTGGGCCATGATTAAACAAGAAATTAATTCTATTTTAACTATTAATATTGGTTGTGACCCAAAGCATATGTTCCTTGGGATATACGATGAGATGAATATGAACAAAAAATAAATAAATAAATGAATAAACAAAAAAATAAATAAAAATAAATAAATAAATAAAAAACACTTGGCAAGTTCCTGACATTTTGTGCAAGAAAAGGTATTCTCCTGAACTGAATAACAGAAAAAACTCCTACAAAGTCTTTATGGCACAGGGCAAAACTTGAATATGTACCACTGGATGACTTAAATTGTGCTTTACATGGCAAAGATGTTTTATTTCTTGAGATGTGAGATCCATTTTTGTTGCATATGGGTTTTAACATAACATCCATACTTACCAGAGGATTTATTTAATGAGGTCAGATCTTGTGAAGGTTTGTGGTGTATGAATTTGCAATTTCTCTATTTTTATTAACCCTTTTTTTCTTAAAATTTTTGTTTAATTCAATTATTATTTTTATTATTATTACAATTTATTTTTCCTCCCCCCACCTTGTCCTGTTCACTTATTTGTTGTTATATCTGTATTGCCTGAACAATGTATAATACAAAATAATAATGATAATAATGCCAAATGTGAAATATCAGAAGTCTCTAGTGTATGATGCAAAGAAAATTCATAGATATTCAGTTGAAGTCAGAATTATCAGCCCCCTTGAGTTTTTAGCCCCTGTGTTGATTTTTTTTCACCAATTTCTGTTTAATAGATAGATTGTTTTCAACACATTTCTAAACATAATAGTTTTAATAACTCATTTCTAATAACTCATTTAATTTATCTTTGCCATGATGACAGTAAATAATATTTTAGATATTATTACATAAATATTATAGACATACTGTAAACATTTCTTTGCTCGGTTAAACATCATTTGGGAAATATTTAAAAAAGAAAAAAAATCAAAGGGGGCTAATAATTATATATAGGCAACACATAGAATGCAAACATCTTTCTAAGGGAATGCAAAAGTATTTTTAGAATACCACCCGCATTTCTCCCCACCACGACAACTTTTGTGGGCCTTCGTACTCCCCCTATAACATTTAATAGACGTTTATATATATTATATTATTTTTATTTTTTCAAGGTTACACAAACACAGAATAAGAAGCATAGTGTATTTTCAAGCACATGTTTTAGTGCATTTTTCAGATCATAAAACACCACATCCTGACAGGAAGTAACCAGATGGGTCTGAACGTCTAACAGTAATAAATATCTTTTTAAACTGAAGTCACTGTAGTATAATAACAAACTTGTGCCTTCATCACTATTGACACTTGAATTTCTGCTGTCAAGAATAATTTCTCGAATATGGCTGAAGGAAAGGCATAAAGCATTTCCAATATTATGTAATGCGGATCCAGAAAGGAGCGGTTATAAAAGAACACTTTTACAAACAACATTGATGCCTAATTGGGTTTGGTGTGATTTGTAATAAACAATATTTATGTCCTTCATCAGAAATGCCAAAATGATTGGATTATAGGATTTGATTATCTTGCACCGCCAATGTCCCACCACTTGGTGGTATCGATAGTTATGCATGTTGGATTTAAAAGCGACATACAGTATAAAGGCCTCTTTGAATGTGAACTCTTTTTGTGCCTTCTTTGGCTAACTCTATTATACTTCTCAACATGAGCCAATGCCAGGAGCACAATAAACGAAAATAGATGATATAATAATACATTTAAAGCCAGAAGCTTTTTGATGTGAATTATACAACCCTGACCACACTTAGGAATATCTGATAAACCCAGACACTCAAAATAACCCAAAGCCAGCCTCTTTATTCTGATAAGACACAGATGTTTAAATAATTAGAGGAAACCTCGAGGTTCTTCTATTTTGAGTTAACTTTTCAATTGAATTGATTACAAAATTAGTTTTGTATTGCGCCACTCCTTTCAGGTACCACAAATAGAAAGCACTGAAATTCAGCCTCCTGAAAGCAGCGATTGTAGTTCAGTCGACTTTAAGTAGATGCGTTACATTTTCTTCATATTTCAAACTGTGTGTCAGAATATTTGAAGGAGACATTTATAGAAACACGCAAACACACACTGCCTGCATGTGGTTTTGTTTTGGCTTTAAAATCCAGTTCATTTTATGACAGATCAAGATGCTCAAGGGTTTTTCATCTTTAGCAAATGCTGTTGCATTGCTCATATCCGGCAAATAAAGTACATCAATGGATGCCTTTTGCTGAGTACTGACACAAAATCCTCTTGTTATTCAGAGACAGACAGTTCTCAATAAAATCTAATTTCTTTTCTTTATAAAAATTGACACGTAATAAAACATCTAATTATAAAAAGTGCCTTTCCACACATAGTAAAAAGGGATTGACTGTTGCACAATGCACAAGGCAGCGATACAGAGAGGATTCCAGTCATTTTTGGCACATTCAAAGAGGTCTGGCATGTGAAATTTGGTGGTTTGGTTAAAGGACAAAAATCTCAACAAGCGCACACAAAACCTGTTTTCCAGACTGAAAATAAATGAATAAATAAATAAAATTCAACCTTACTGAATTGGTATGGCCTGAAACATCCCCCCCTCCCCTCCAATTATGGTTCTGTTTTATTCTCGTAATATAAACCAAATAGACGGTTAATCCGAGTGCTGCACTAAAAACCAGCTTTAGACCTAACATTTGTGATCATCAATGCATTGCTATAGGTTAGTGTCATCGAATTAAATGGTAAAACTTGTGATGTAAACAAGAGATGAAAGAAAAACATAAAAAGCAGCGAGAACCAAATGTTATAAGTCGTCATTAAATCGTCTTACTAAATCGAATGCTTAATACTGAATGCTTCAGTATGTCCTCATATCACAATGGCTTCACGATCAAATTAAGCGAAACAGGAATGCTTTAAATTTCTTACGAGCAATGAAAGGTTGATTGCCAAATCTTTGCATCTGTAAACCTCTCTAGACTTATCGTCACACATTTATGACCTTTTATAGAGATTTTGGTCTTAAATCCTAAAGAATTTAGAGACGGATGGATTTTATGTTTGTTTTTAACGACAAGGTGTTTTCAATCTATTATTTGTTCATTTATGGATGCTGAGAAACAAGCGTGTGAGTTGAGTGGCAACTTAAATGTCCAGCTGCATAAAGAATTGGTGTCAACTATCGTCTTGAATTAGTACCGTTTGTTTGTGCATAACATCTAATCTTAATATGCGGCACGATGGCTTAGTGGTTAGCACTGTCACCTCACAGCAAGAAGATCACTGGTTCAAGTCCCGCCTGGGCCACCTGGTATTTCTGTATGGAGTTTGCGTCTTCTCTGTGTTGGCGTGGGTTTCCTTTGTGTCCTTTGGTTTCCCGCATAGTCTAAAGACATGCAGTATAATGTAGGTGAACTGAATGAACTAAAGTGTCCGTAGCGTATGAGTGTGTGCGATTGTGAAAGTGTATGGGTGTTTCGCAGTACTGGGTTGCGACTGGAAGGGCAGCCGCTGCGTAAAACATATGCCGGAATAGTCCACTGTGGCAACCACTTATAAATAATGGACTAAACCGAAGGAAAATGAACGAATGAATCTAATTTTAACATCAGTTTTTTTAATATAGATAGCACTCATTGCAAACTAGACCACACTACAGATTTCTCTCTCTCTCGGATTTATTTTTGTGTGTCTGTTTGTGGACCGACTGGCTTTTGTAAAATATGTTGTTTTAATCTTCATCTTGGTAATGTTTGCAACTCTGTCTCATTTCTATAGTAACAAAACAAATAAGAAGCAACTAATGTCAAATTCATGTCTTATTGAGAGACATAAGAGATAAAACATAATAAGAACTTAAAAAATAAAGTGCGTCAGTCCTGTACTATTTCCTTTCCCGGCATGACGCATCTTTCGAAATGTCATTGTCAAGGTTTAAATTTCTTTTAAACTGGATATTTCATTTTCTGTATGGGAAAATGAGTTTTACTCACCCTCATTTGACTTTGTAAGGACTTTTCAAGCTTAAAAAGAAACTTGCTAGTAATTTATTCAACCTCAAGTCATCTCCAAATTAAGGAGATGACTTAAATTAACATATTTTGCTAAAACTACACTGCAAAAAAATCCTGGTTACCTTAAATTTTTAAGCTAAATTAAATTAACCTTATGAGTCCATTGAACTTACAGTATGTCATGTTAAACTGACTTAAAACAGCTTGTATACCTTATACATTTAAGTTAGAACATGATAAACTTATTTTAATAAGTTCCAATAACCTAAAAACCTATGCTGTCAGGACTTACTAATCATATATTTTTTTGCAGTGTTTAGTTCTTTGTAATTCATGAAATTCATATCACTGACACTTTGAGATACATAAAAAAAACACAGAAGCGAAGTAAAGTGAATCCCCATGATTCCTGATGATACATTGAGCATTAACATTATTTTCAACATTATTACATTTAAATGTCAATTGGGAAAATCCAGCCCTTGTCCACAAGCTTCTTCTTTTGTACATTTAATTTCTGATTTACCAAATATTTACTAATGCTTGTCACATTTATAAACTCTTCGTCAACACACCTTTTTACATTACAGAATCCATAAAACTTTAGTTTCAGTCTTTTACTCCATCACTGATCTGAGTTGGATTGTTCCTCTTCATGGCTTATCTTATTTCGCAAGCCCAACATCATAGAATCACATACAGTATGCTGATATATTTGCTCCTTTCAAGTACGAATGACTTTCAGGCACGTCTTTAAGTAAATTTGCTTTGAATTATTTCAAATGGTTCAGTTCAGTTGGATGAACTACTACATCCAGTTCTCCAAAATGAACTGGTTCAAATGATAGAACTGGACAATTTAATAGTGATTAAATATAAGAATGTTTTCAAATATTGTTTCGTTTCTTGCAAAGACCAATTGTTCTGCCAATCGTAAGCCCTCAGAGAATTGCCAGGAACCACGAGTTTTAAATTTGATTTCCCTGTAAATCTCTCACAATGATGGTTACCACTGGAGTATATAAATCAGCAGCTACTGTTAACTCACATCTCGAATGACCTGAGGGTGAAGAAATTATGATCACTTTGCCTTTTTTTTGGTGTGAACTTTTCCTATAACCTTATGTTATCATCGCCTTAAACACATAAACTTGACACTGATTTAAACACCAGTTAAACAATGCTTTATGCAGCCAGTTTTTTGCTTATATCTGGCAACACAGTGTTGTGAAGAAGTGTAAACCAATGTGATGTTATAACATGTCAAAACGATTGGCAATTGGCCAAGGCATACCGTACTGACAGCCAGGCCTACTGTAATCTCAAATGCCTCACTTCAATGTCTACAGTACATGTGCATGGGTCCATAAATCAGTAGTTAACCCAATGAGGTATATTCTGTGAGTATTTAATCACCCTTTACTTGTTAAAAACCTATTTGAGTATTTCTTTCTGTTTCGAAGAACTGACTTCCATTTTTTTTTTTCAAGTCAACGGGTGCCAGTAACCGGCATTCCTTAAAATATTTTGTGTTCAACAGTAGAAAGAAACTCAAAGTTTAAAACTAATTATAAGGTAATTTTCATGTTTGGGGGAACTATCCCTTCAAGTGAGTATGTATGGTGTCCCATTCATCATTTTAGCTTTCAGAAAGGTGGTCAATTGACTCTCAGTTAACACTACTGCAAGCTCCAAGCTGTTTTTTAACAGTCAAAGTGACATTATGTCAAGCAAAATTGCAGACTCACAGCAAGACCACAAGAGTTTCAACCTCAAAAGTGTGCCTGGTATTCACATATTTTGGAGTGTCACTGTAACATTGTGTATTCAGGGTGCATTCATTCCATGCCTTATTACCATAATTATGAGAGTCCAACTTGTAAAGAGTGTTCACATCCACACAGAACTTACACTTAGAAAAAAATATGTTTCTGAGCGCTACAACTTGTACCATTTCTATGACAGATTTGTTCAAGTGATAAGTTTAAGCATTGATAATGTCCTCAGAGTGAACAGCTTCCTATAACAGATGTTGTACTAATAATGTTATATAAGAGGCTCAAATTATTATGTTATTGACAAAAAGCATAATAAAAAAATAAATACACAAACATACAATACACATAATGGAGACCAAATATATAATTTGTGCTTCATTCATATTCAATGTCAGAGGCTGCTGTTACACAAAAAGTCCACAAATGAGACTCAAAGTAGCTTTAAAACTGTCCTTCTAACCATGTAGATTAAATGCAGATAGATATATTTTGACTGATAAGCCTGATGAACTGAGAATCAACACATTTATCTGTTCTTTAAGTCTTCTCATGCAACTTTATCCAGATAAATGTATATTTCAAAATATAATGCTGATTAGCTTAGCAATTTTTACTATATATCATGACATACTGTATTCGTGCACATAATGTGCAAATCAATTTACAGAAGGAAGTTTTTTCCAGTACTGTGGTTCCTCACTATAATGCGGTTCATGTTTTTCGGCCTTTGTGTGTGTAATTTGACATCCTACAGTGCATTTTGTTCTCCATCCTAATCAGCGCTTTGTGTTTTGCATCCTGATTGGCTGTAGACCATTGTCAATCAATCTTCTCCTTTTCATGTTTCAATTACAGTACAGAATGCGTTCAGCTTGCCAAATTTACATAAACCTCCTATCGCATTTTTTCCCCACAATGTTGATGCAACATTCTGCACCTTTAAAGGCACCTGTGGTAAGCACCCAATAGGCAGAGGAAGATGCTAACCATGCCCAAAAAGTTGAACTTCTGGACATGCTAAAAGAAGGTAGAAGTTATGTGGCTGTAGGAGACCATTACGAAATAAATAAATGAAGATCAAATGGAGTTAATATATATTTAATAATATAATATTGGAGGTATTTTTCTACAAAAGTTTGAACTTAGAGAGTTTTTAAACAAGAGAGAAAAGTGTGAAAATGATAATGCCTGACTGTGAAAAGTGTATAAAGAGGGGTTTTACAGCCTTAAAACATCTATAATAAGTGAAAATAAGTAAATTAATTGTTTTAGTTTGAAGATGTGCTAAGCTAAAATCTCTTACTCTTTCCTTTTTCTTAGTCCCTGATTTATCAGTGGTCACCAAAGTGAAATGAACTACCAATTGCTCTGGCATATGTTGCATGAAGTGGATGCCCTTCCACCCACAATCCTGTTCTGGGAAACACTCAAATCTGTTACATCCTAATCAAAATATATTTAAATTCATAAATGTAGTTGTTCCTTTGAATGTGAAGTGATTCACTGCCCAAACAATACAACAACAACATTAATAATAATAATAATAAAGGGACTAAGCTGAAAAGAAAATGAATAAATGAATAAAGAAAATTAATAATTATAGTAATAATAGGGGTGGCTAGATGGTGCAGTGGGTAGCGTCTGACAGCAAGAAGGTCGCTGGTTCGAGTCCTGGCTGGGTCAGTTGGCATTTCTGTGTGGATATTGCATGTTCTCCCCGTGTTTGCATTGGTTTCCTCCAGGTGCTCCGGTTTCCCCCACAAGTCCAAAGACTTGCTCTATAGGCGAACTGGATAAGCTTAATTGTCCATGGTGTATGAGTGTATATCCTAGTTATCCAGGTTGTAGGTTGAGCATTGGGCTAACGACCCACATCGTAAAAATGAGATGTTATGAAACCCCAACATGGTGCTACTAAATCTCAACTTCGATATAAACTGTGCTGAGAGTAACTAATAATAAAAATAACAATAATAATTAAGATGATGATTGAATGCATTTTTATAATGTCTATAGACGTTGCAGCAACAGTTTTTGATATGGTGACAGCAATAGTTCTGTATGAGTTTGTAAATAATGATAGTTTTCAATTTTTGTTAGATTATAACAGTCATATGTTCATTATTAGAGTCATATGTTACAAAAAGCAGCATGTGACTCAAAAGCAATACAATAACATATGTCTGGGACAAATATGAGATAGAAAATAAAACAACTAACACTTTAGTGCTTTAGTGTAATTGGGTAATTTTAATGACAAAGACACTGTTAATATTGCCTGTTCAATAAAACACCAGCATGAGCGGCTCCTTTATTCATTTTTCCTTGTAGTGCACAAAATATTGCTGTTAGATTCCTTATATCAGAATGAGCCAAGCAAATCATTTGATTAAATACTTGCTTCTGACATAAAGACGACACTTAGGATATGGCTTCATTCCACTTGTCCTGTATATTCAGTATATATAAGCATATATTTATTTATATACACTCCACATATTTTGGTATGTTTGAATAACAAGTCAAGAACAATGAATGGCTGAACTGCCATAGATCTGTCGAGTTTAGTTTGTGCAAGAAAGCTTAAAATATTTTCAGATTTCTATCAATGGACCACTTTTATTTTCGTTGGAACAATAAAAGATTCCCTTAAACACACATAGTTCCTAAACAGAATGAAATACAGCCTCCTTCTGATATTGTGTCTCTCAATTTATGATTTGCTTTAAATAAATAATGAACTCCATCACCTGGTTTTTTTTTTTCTTCTTGATGTGTCTTTCTTTCATGTTGGAATGTTGGTTTTTCTGTTTCACTTGGAACTCCCTGCTGAAAAGACCCCCGGCACTAATAACCAGCACATGTTTTTGGCTACTGGTCCCAGCAGGCTTCTTAGGCCAGACCAGTGGGTCTTTTCAACAGGCCAAAAATGCATTGTTTGTCACTTACTTTTTGCTGTCTGTAAAATAGAACAGTTATGAGTAGAAGTCCACTGCATACTAATGCAATTATGAGCACGATGCCGAAAGAGGTGATTGTGCTGCTGGATTGTTCTGCGGCAGAGCTTGTGTGTACATCTCCGTCTGGGTCAGTCTGGTCCTTTATCTCCAGGGATCTGTGGTCTGTGGAAATCAATGGCATCTTTAATCAATTATCAAAATTGGTAACACATGACTCAAATGAAATCAAATTCTTGGGCTTGAGAACACCTTTGATGTTTAGCACCCCCCCCCCCCCCCATTTAAATTGAATTCATATTTTTTTTAAACCAATGCTTTGGTTTGTCATTATATTAGCACTTGGTGGTTTACAACAATACAGCATTTTTAACATGTTTATCTTGGTTCATTCTCATTTTTAGGATTTCAGTCATTAATTCTTTTTTACAAAAGGTGAAATATAAGTATCAGAGAAATCATTTCACTTATTTCTGAAGTTAGCAAGACTACTTAATGACTGACAACAATTAAGCCGTACATTCTGTTATGCCCCATCCAAATGAGTGACGTCAAATGGGTGGCGTCAAACGTTGCCGAACTGAATTGTAGATCCATCGGCACCACTTCAGTTGTGTTGCTCACTGAAGAAGTAAGGAATTTCTCAACTATTCCAGTGCTAATGGAAGAGTATGGAGTCAATACAAGGCCTTATTTACTTGCATATTAAAATAAAGATTTGAAAACAAAAACTTGTTGTGTAAACCAGAAGTTATTTAGCAAAGAAATGTAATTAAATCGTAATTAAAATAGAAACATTTTGCTTCACTGAAGGCAGGTCCAGAGATGCCATACATGCCCCAGTTTCCTTGACTCTGCCCCCTTGTGAAATTAGGGCCAGAAAGTGAAACACGCAGAAATGTGAAGCGCAAAGAGAAAACGGCATCGCAAACTCACAGTTGACTGAAAAGCAAATTAAATTGAGCAATGCAATTGACTTAAAGGGTTTTGTAAAGGAAATGCTAGAAAAATATTTTGCAACTCATTCATTCATTCATTCATTCATTCATTCATTCATTCATTCATTCATTCATTCATTCATTCATTCATTCATTCATTCATTCATTCAAATCTTGAAAAAGGGGTAAAATAGGTGCACTTTGAACATAAATGAGAAATGCTGTCTTGGCAATTGAAGGAAATAAGCTGACTACAAAACAGAATACTGATGTAAAATATAATAAATTAAGGTTCAAAGAAAAAAGGTTTAAAAGCCACAATTGATTAAATTATATTCAGAGAAACTTAGTTAGACATCTTGAATTTTTTTTTTTGATGTAACCAGTCACCAGTCACTGAAAGGGAGGCTCTCAGGAATGTGTGTAAACATCAGATCCTTTTTGTTTTTCCGGGCAAAAACATCCTGAATACTTTGAATAAAAATCAGTTGACTGGCTTTAATAGACAACCTAGGAAGTCTGGGAAGCTTTTGTTTGATACATTTCTTAACATTTCTTTAAAAACTGCCAATAAAAAGTAATTATTACATAGTAATTTTTATTTGCAACCTGTTCAATAGTAAAATAACATGGCAGACATCTGATTTCCTCACCTTTGCTGATTTCCATTTCATGGATGGTTCTAATGAAATTCCTTGGCACCCTCATCGGACTCTGGGTGTATGCTTGGAAAGTTTCAGGAGGGGTGTTTAGATGACCACGCTGTTCTTCAAGAGAGGTCAGACTGTCTGATGAATGTGCCGCTTCTTTCAATGAAGACACAGCTGTGGTTCCGACTGGTACAACTTGTTCACTTATTTTAAGTGTTTGGAAAGATTTTCCTTGTATCTCTGTGCTCTTTATGTATTTATGTGTTGGCTCAGTTGTTGCAGTAAGCCAGCTGTGGGATAATCCCACACTGGAGCTGGATGGTCCTTCTTGGTTTTTGGAATCCAAAGACCTCTTGGCAAGTAAAAGGGGAGTGCTCCTCTCAACACCGACCTGGATATTATCTCTTGTGTTTGTCTGATATGGGCCAGATGCAATAGACTGAACAGATGAGTCAATTGTTTTTGGAAATACATCCCTAATATTTGTTAAGGATGGGAAAACATCTGATGATGGCATTAGGTCCAACTCTGTGTTTTCTTCTGGTAAGCTTGGAGTACTTCCAAAGAAGAAGCTGGATGAATCTCCTTGTGTTGTTACTGAAACAAAAGACTGTAATTGTTTAGTTCTCTCATTACCAGCTGGTAAAGTTGTGACAGGTGAAGAGAAAGATCTCTGTGAGGATGTTGTAGATTTCAGGTAAATATTCCAATGGCTCGAGGATGAAGATGCTTTAGATGATCCAATGCTCACTGTTGGACAAATGCAGGGGCACTCTGAGCTACCTTGAGGAAACATGATGCAAATGTACTGTAAATTATGACAGAAATTTCATTTTAATTACAAGTTCTCCAAATCAGTTTATTCATACCTTTTTATTGAAAAGAGTCAGAAGAAATTAAACGAGTAGCAAACAAGTGCCAAGTTGTTAAATCCAAATGATAACCAGTTCCGTTAATTTCATAGATGAAAATGACTTGACACAAACCGAAAACTTGGAGGTCTGCTGTACCAACATGACTGATGCGCACACTCCATTCCATTTATCTAAAGAATGAACAGCACAATGCTGTAGATTATATAGAACAGTAATGCTGGTTAGTTTTTATCTTTTGACTACATTGTTGTAATTCATGATCTCTAGGAACATATTTAGGGCTACGTTTTCAGAATGAGCATGTGTTGGACAAAAACATTTTCCTTTATTTGCATAAATCTCTACCCTGAATGGTAATAAAGGTGACACAAGAAATGTCCAGTTTTAGAAGGGGATGCACCAGGCAAATGTTTTAGAACAACTTCTCTAGAACAGGGAAGTACAATCCTACTCCCAAGTCCCAAGGCTAAAGCGGGTTTTTTGAAAGTGTATGTTACCTAAGGGTCGGCTTTTGTGGCACCTTTGCTGTGTAAAAATGTTTCTAGAAAGCTAAAGTCCTGCATATTTAAACTCCAACCTGCTCCAATACACTTGAAGTGGTACTGGTTGTTAAGACAAATGGGCGGAGCTGGAACTCAGTTCCCCCTTGATACACTTCCTCTGCTCGGTTGTTAGGGTTGTGGAAGGTTTAGACGTTATTAAAACACAACAGATTACTGTTAAGGTTAGGTTTAGAGTTGGGGTAGGTGTAGAGGTGAAAAAGAAAAACTAATTATTGTACGTGGTAGGATTAGAGTTGTGGTAGGTGTTCGTCGGGCACCAGGTTAGGATTAGTGAGAAATAAACATTTCACTGGCTATATTCTTCAAGATTTCTGAGAGATGATCCACCTGGAAACAAAGCTGTTGTGACGTCAAACCCCTCGTGAATAAATTCTTCAATAAATGAATTATTAAATTATAGCTAAACGAATTATGGCTGCTTTACATGTCAGTTAAATGACCTCCGGGTGGTCCTTGACTAATAAACATCCAGATCAGTGCTCAAGGAACATCAGGAATATTTAGCGAAGGTAGAAATAAAAACTGATCATTCACTTTCCTAACTTACAACACCTGACGGTACAGGGACTCAAATCCACAACCTTCAGTTGTAAGCCGTTAAGCCCAAACTCACAACCTTGCATGTATGACTAAGCTGATTGTTAGATGATGTCACTTGATATACAGCTACCTGCTGTTTGGATGAGGGGTTCAGTAGTGGATTCCGGGTAATCCTCTGTGTACTCCTCCTCACAGTTCCAGTCCACAGACGTGTCACTCTGAGTCATCAGACTCATATACATGCGAATCACTTCCTCAGCTTTCTCCAAAGCTGCTCTGGGCACAGTCACGTGGATTTTTACGAACTTCGTTGGACTGTCCTGTTGGATGAAGTATATATTTGTCTGTTGTTTCCACCAGAAGTTAGGCATTATTCTCAGTAGTGTATCGCATCCCAATGGCTCGTAAATCAAGTGGTAGGCACTGTTATTTGGTAGGCACTGTGATTTGCTCAGTTATGCCAATTTAAATGCAAAGGTGACATGGTTTAAGATGTCTATGTTATGACAACTTGACAATTACCAAGACAGCATAAACAGTCATAAACCCCACATACATGTCATATACACGATTGTCATGAGGCTATTATAATCATATAATGAATGTTATAACAGCATCATTAATATTTTTTAAGACTTGATACTTTATAATTTTAAGGGTGCTTTCACATCTGTAGTTTGTGTCTTTTGGTTCGGACCAAGGGCAATAAATTATACGTTGTAGCATTTTCTGCCATCTTTGGGTCATTTTCACAGCCCACTGCTGGCTTTGTTCTGAACCAGATGAAAAGAACCAAAATGCAGTCATCTGACCACTCATTGGCCAGATGTTATTGAACGTATTTCTTAAACTGCTTTTTGATTGGTCAGAATTCACGTGCGGGAAAATGCTAATGAAATGCCCGCAAGTTAATAAAACGGCAGACACAAAATCTTGCTTTTTACTATGGAGCTACGACTGGGCTGACTAATTGTAACACTGCTTATAGTATACTATATAGTTTGTATACATCACTTTAGACAAACTATACATTTCGAAAATGAAGCACAACTGCTGCTGGAAAACGACGCTTTAAAGCATCACACGTCACTTCAGGAGGAGGTTAGTTTGAATTTTTAGATTAATTTACCTAAACTGTGACATGGTCATCTTGCGAAAATATTACAGATTCATCAGGTAATGTTTTTCTCTCTCTCTTTCTGTGTTTAAAATTGTTAGTACAGCGCTGTCAACAAATATTTTTCTAGCCTACAGCAGCTGGATTAGTCCAAAAAGGCACAGTACTTTTTCCGGTTGGGTCTGTTTTAGTTCGGATCATATTCTTACCACAAACTAATCGCTCCAGATTTCGTTTGAAAGCATATCGAGACCACCTCTTCAAAGAGTTCTCGATACGCTTTTTTGGTCTGCTTTTGGTGCACACTTGAGTATGATTGCTACATTCACACCTGCCCAAACCAACCACACCAATGGGGAAAACGAACTCTAGTGCGATTCAATCTAACTAAATAAGGCAAATGTGAAAGCACCCTAAGACTTAAACTGCAGTGTTACAAATTAAATTTGTCGTTAAATTCTCACTAAACATTAATGACGCTGTTTAAATTTATTTGACAGATTCTTCATAAAGATTTTTAATCCCAAATTCATTTTGTTCTACTGAAAAAAAAAAAAAAAATCTGAAAATATTCACTAAACAATTATAATGGCCTCATGACAATCATGTTCATGACAGATATATGACAAATTATGTTGTCTGGGTAATGCCAAGCTGTCATGACAAAGACAAGACAAGTTGTGATGTTTTTGTTTATGTCAAGTTGTTAAAGACATCTCAAACAATGTCATCTTTACATTTAAAATAACATAACTGGGATTTTTATAACAGTTGGTAAAGGTATTTATATAATCTCCATATTCATGACAAGTGTCATGTCACGATTATAAAGGTCTTATGAACACCCCTTTCAAGTTAAGTGTTACTATTAATTTATTGCAAAGGTTTTAGTTTAAGTAAACCATTTCAAAATATATCCAGTTCCTTTTGAGGTTAAATCAAATGTATTTTTTTGTAAATGTTCCAGGATGTATAAAAGGTGCTCTATTAGATACACCACTTTTCCTTATGTATATCCTGCCAAAGACAACAAACAGTCTGATTGTTTTTGACCCGGTGTGAAAGATATATGATGCACTATAGCATTTATCTTTGATCTAATAAGGACTGCAACCGGAAAAGTTTCTTCTTGGCTTTTTAAAGATATACTGCAGAATACTTATGGGCTGATACAATCACATAATAGTCATGTGGTCCAATTCCCTTCATGTTGGCAGAGATTATCTTAAATATATCGGCATGAGTCCAGTTTTGCAAACAAGCAAAGTCCAGCTCTCAACATTTCAGTAAAACAACACAACCGAGTCCAACACTACTGCAAGAAAACTATTTTAATAAATACTATTGTTGCCAAATAGCTAGCCCCTAGCTACTATCCAAATATCTCGGTTTCTTGAAGTTTCCCGCCTTAAACCTTACTCAAAATTATAGGCATAATGAACTTCATGACTTATAATTTATTTCTAAAATATTTCAAAGCACCTCAACAAGATAAAAACTCATCCTGTTGTTTGTTTGTGTATTTGTGTTGTATTTGTGGACATTCTTTTAAACAAATTAAACAATTACTGGTTTAAAACAAGTATGAAACTATAACTCAATTATAAGTACCAAAGCTCTCCTAGAGAATAAAGATGGACTTTGTTACCTCAATCTCCTCATTGATTGAAGGGATGCATCTCTGTGAGTAAATGTTGTAGATTAAGATCTTCAGAGAATTAGAATAACGATAATTGTCGGAATCCTTTGCATATCTGAAATGGGTGTTGAGTAGCTCCAGTATGTGAGGGAATGCCGCTTTAACATAACATACAACACTCTGAAACACACAAAGAAAAATGTATATTATCATACATGTTGATGTTATTCAATACAACACACCATTGTTTTCATGGCATTGAATTTTTGAAATTTTTATTCCTATTGTAACAGTACTCAAGCTTTCCAAATGATCTCAATGCATGCAAAGGGTATTAGGCGCAGTCCAAATACTCCTGCCAGTTTAAACAAAGAGGAAGCCCTGGATCGCTGTCAACAGGAGCCCACAGCAGCAATTGGGGCTGCTTTGGCCCTAAAAGTAAATGTCATGATTCATATCAAATGCACACTTTTGTCAACCTTGAATGCTCCATTGAATGCTGATAACCCATTCAAATATGCTGAAGGGTAAACAAGATCATGAGAACTTTCTCTTTTTTACACTACACAAGTTCAATTGAAATAGATGCTTTAGCCTATTTTTATTTAATTATTTATTTTTTTTGTGTGAAATATACTACCTGACAAGTTTTAGGAACAACAACTTCTAGTTGGCCTCACAAAGACCTCTAGATTACAGTGCGCTTATTATCAAAATAAAATATGATCATGCCTTGATTTTGAATTATTTAATTAGGACAGTAAGCTCTGACTTTGCTTTGACAAAAGTCTTGTTGCTTAACAAAAATAATGTACAGTATAGAATATAAAGTCATGGTGCAGTGCAATAAGAATGAATATTGTGTATGACTCCCATGAGCTTGGAGGACTGCATCCATACATCTCTGCAATGACTCAAATAACTTATTGATAGAGTCATCTGGAATGGCAAAGAAAGCATTCTTGCACGACTCCCAGAGCTCATCAAGATTCTTTAGATTCATCTTCAATGCCTTCTTCTTCATCTTAACCCATAAATGCTCAATAATGTTCATGTCTGGCGACTGGGCTGGGTAATCCAGGAGCACCTTGACCTTTTTTGCTGTCAGGAACTTTGATGTGGAGGCTGAAGTATGAGGAGGAGTGATATCCTGTTGAAGAATTTGCCTGTGATTTGTAATGTAATGGGCAGCAAAAATGTCTCGATACCTCAGGCTGTTGATGCTGCTATCCACTCTGCAGATCTCTCGCATGGCCTCATACTGAATGTAACCCTAAACCATGATTTTTCCTTCACCAAACTTGACTGATTTCTGTGAGAATCTTGTATCCATGCGGATTCCAGTAGGTCCTCTGTAGTATTTGTAAAGATTGGGATGCAGTTCAACAGATGATTCATCTGAAAAATCTACGTTCTGCCACTTCTAACTTATCAACTAGAAGTCAAGTTATTATTTGTTGCTTTTACAACTGGGATCAATAACAAGACTTTTAGGTCAGGTAGTGTACATGTAAAACTGAAATAAGTAAAATGGATGCTATGGGCAGTATGACACCAAAAACTTTTGGTCCATCTTACACTAAGGATTTTAAAGGGACAAATTATAGAAGAAAATTAAAGAAGAAAAATTGTTCTGTTTGTGCAATTGTGTTTTCCACAACACCAAATTGATACCATGAAACTTAATGTTGTCTATGATTTAAAAATTAACTATGTTTGCCTCAAATATTTATCTTTATATTCACTATTACTTTTAAGCACAGTCAGTTTGTTCAATAGCTCACATTATTGTTTTTATTGTAGAATGATGCAGAGCACTCGGGTTAGAGTTTGATAAAGCATGGTTCGGCAAAAGAGGTAAAATCAAGGTTAAACTACTGTACATAAATTGACTTTTTTTTTGCTTTTGAAAATACTGTTAGTTGATTTTTATTGGGGGTGGTATGGTGGCTCAGTGGTTAGCACTGTCACCTCACAGCAAGGTAGTTTGAGTCCCAGCTGGGCCAGTTGCTGTTTCTGTTAGGATTTTGCATGTTCTCCCTGTGTACACGTGTGTTTCCTTCGGGTGCTCTGGTTTCCCCTACAACCAAAAGACATGCACTATAGGTGAATTAAATTAATTAAATTGGTCGTAGTGTATAAGTGTGTGTGTGTGTGTGTGTGTGTGTGTGTGTGTATGTGTATGTGTCTGTGTGTGTGTGTGTGTGTGTGTGTGTGTGTGTGTGTGTGTGTGTGTGTGTGTGTGAATGTGAGAGTGTATGAGTATTTCCCAGTACTGGATTACAGCTGGAAGGGCAAACGCTGGAAGGGCATACGCTGCATAATATATATATATATATATATATATATATCAGTGTTTTGTTAGGTGATCTGTACTAGCACAACCATTTATTGAGGTGCACAAGAAGGATGTGTATTTGAAACTTAACAAAACTCCCCCTTAATAAAGAAGTTTAGATTTACAAAATTGTAAACAGTGCCCTCAATTGGATTTGTCGTCTGAAACATGCGATGAACACAATCAGATTTTTACACTTTCAAAAATGTAGCCTAAAGCGTCTATTTCCAATGAACCTGTTATTTTTATAGCATAAGAGAGAGAAAATGCATTCACTAAAATAAAAACAGAGGGCCCCTATCATCCACCCAGTGCAATAGGGCACAAGACGTGTTTGGCGTGATTTGTTGCTATTTTCAGACCAGTGAAAACCAAATTTTCACTTTTTGCAACATGTTGTTTAAATAGTCAATCCATTTGCACCACTTTGTGGGCTCATGGGCATGCTTGTCTAGGTGTGTTAAGCCCATTGGCACCACTGATCATCTAAAGTCCAGCACAGTGTGTGTTATTTATGTGCCTATGTGGGTCAAAACACTTACACATTACTTAGCATACACAGGATGTACAGCAATAGACAAATATCTTTTTGAATACTGAAGGATTAAAATGTTACAAAAATCATTATTTTCTACATAAATATAAAGGCCACTGCCTCCATGCCTCACCTCGGGTTTTTTTTTTTTTTTAGTTAATTAATTACAATTTGCTTTTGTATAATGTTATTATTATTAGCAGTATTATGTATTATATGCGTATTTATATATATTTTTTAATAAAAACAAGTTTAGATTTGTCCATCTTCTAAAGAATTTCTAGAGAAGAAGATCATCTGCCTCTAAAGGCCCCGGTACACTTCAAATGAAACTAAATAACAAACTGAAATGACATCATTAAAAAAGAAAAAAGAAACAAAAGCTTAGTTTTGAGTTTACTTCAGGCTCATCAAGGCAAACTTTGCTATCACTGGTCCGTGATGATTAAAAAATAGGTCGGCATTTGCTGGAACTCGCAAACTCGCTGGCACCCAACAAACAACGCCAAGTTAGCAACATAAATGAAAAGGAGGCTTAAATAGCAGAGTTGGCACAGAGCTGGCACCTTTGATTTGCCCTCAAATGTAGAACAAAAAATAATTTCATTTGAAATATACCAGAGCCTTTAATCACTGCCTTTTCAAAACCTGCCAATTGATTTATGCATGCAGTAGGTACAGTAAATAATAAAAGAAGCAAAAAAAAAAACAAAAAAACAGCTCTGATCATAAAACCAAACAACAAAGACGACTTCAAATACAACAAATCCTCTGCATTGCCACTGCCAAGCTCTTGAAAAGTCTTTTCCAAACGGCTGCTAGATTAACTCCAATAACTCAGAGTTCCCCTTCTAGGGAACTTCAACACTGCGTCTAACCAGAACGCTAGGGGAACACCTCTTTTATACGCGTCTTGAAGCACATGTGAAATCAATCTAATGTAATTAAGCAGGTGTCGTCAGACCAGAGAGTATAAAAGCCTGTACTGAGCATTCAGTATCAACTTCTTTGCTTTCAAGAAGCACGCACGTGAAAATACACCCTCTTTCTGTGATCTTTCATTACTGATTTGCATACACAAAATACAAAAAAACTGACAACTTACTTTTTTATTTTGGTATGGCAGAGAAAAACTTTAAACGTTGTGTGCCTCCATGCCCTCGCTTTATTACGGCTGGTGACTCACATGATTTGTGTTTAGAGTGTTTGGGAGAAGAGCATGCCCTGGTAGCATTTGAGAATGCTGTCTGTGGACACTGTGACGTTCTCTCCCGTAAAGAGCTGCGCAGTCGGAGAGAGTTCTTTAATAAAGCTCCCGTGGCGCACGCTCCTCGCGGTTCGGGTCCCGCTCGTGCTGAGGCTGAGCGTCGACTTCGGTCGTGGGGTTCGCAGCTAGATCTGGCGGATGAGATTGAGACGGACTCTGTCCTTTCTCTCTCTGGATCCGTGAGATCTAATCCTCCTTCGGGAGCGTCAGAAGCACGCTCTGCGGTTTCTTCTGCGCCTCGTGAGAGGGCGGCGTCCTCCGTTTCCGAGGAAACCGAGGCGCCGCAGCAACAAATAAAAAGAGGGTCGGGGAATCTGCCGCCCCAGTCAGCGGAATATGAGGAGTTAGTGGAGGTGATTTCACGTGCTGCTGACCGGTTCGATGTAATAGATTGGCACCCAGCACGTGAGCAGCAGCAGCTGCGTCTGACAGGAATGCTGGATGAGAGAGAATTACCCAGCAGAGTAGATCCTCCACTAAGGGACCTCCCCTTTTGTCCCGAGCTACATGATGCGGTTTCTAAATCATGGAAAAATCCGTATTCAGCATGGTTAATGACACCAAAAACAGCTATTTATTCAGCAGTTCGTGGGCTAGGGGAAAAGGCATGTACAGTAATGCCAATGATAGAAGAGGACTTAGCGTGTCATCATCGTTCAGATCTAAAATCTGCAAGGGTCCCTCCTTTGTTGTCGAGACCATTAAGATTAACATCGGGTCTAGTCAGTAAAGCATATATGACGGCTGGTCAGTCTGTTGGATGCCTGCACACCATGTCAGTGCTGCAGGCATATCAGGCTGACCTAATTAAAGAGTGCCTAGATGGTGGGGGAGCAACACCCGAACAGCTTCGAGAAGCTCTTCGGGCGTCAGATCTAGCTTTAAGAGCTACTAAAGAGGCAGCCTCTAGTTTGGGGCGATCTATGGCTACCCTGGTGGCTACTGAGCGGCACCTCTGGCTGACACAAGCAGAAGTGTCAGAAACCGATAGAGCTATTCTTATGGACGCTCCAATATCGAGCTCAGGGCTCTTCGGTGAC